AGAGAGAGAGAGAGAGAGAGAGAGAAAAACATTTTTTTTCCTTTTTGTAAATTGGAATTCCTATCATTGGATTTTTTTTTCAATATTCAATTATATCAGATTCTGAAAAACAATTATTGTAACAATAATCATATATGGATATATAGACATGTGACCTTTTCATAAAATTGTTTTTAATTAATCTGTTAATTTATATTTACGATATAAACTAGAAATCAAAATTCAAATCTTAATGATATTCGGTACATATAAGATAGTTGCAAGCAATAGATTGTATATTAATAAAAAAAATTGTATGTATATCATATTAAAGAGCCTCTTTTTTCCCCTTAATTTTTAAGTTAGAATAAATATTTTGAATAGTTAAAGTCAAAACAGTCAGAGGGTTACAGCTTCAAAAGAGCCTAAAAATGGGGAAATAATATATAAATAAATAGTTGATATAAAGATTTGAAGATCCGAAATCTAAAAGTGGGAAAGCGTGCTTATGATATTAATCATTTCTTCCCGAATTAAATATTAATGAAAATTGTTACAGAATTGATCCGACCGATCATGCTTAATGCTCAATCTTAATTGATTTATCCCGTAATTTTCGGTTATTCATATTCTTCTTCCTCGTAGTTTTTTTTTGTTTGTGTTCTCTAATTTTTCCCTCGAAATTCAATTTATTTATCTAAATAAATAAAAAAGGATTCGATTCGAGAAGCATCCTCGTCCTCAACACTTGGAGTTTCCGAACCTTCTAAAAGTCTTGGAACATCCATGTCTAAATTCTTTTTGTATGTTACATGACATCCATTTTCATATATGTAGATACCCGAAAATAATTCGATCCAATCCAAGAGCTCAATAAAACTGAATTGTATTCGAATTTATTTATATGTTGTTCGATACGATTTTTGGTTGATTCAATTAACCAATACTAAACCTAACATAATTAAATATATATTTTTAAAAAAAATATGTATTTTAAAAAATATATTTTAAGAAAAAGCAAATCAAAACTAAAACAAAAATTAGACCGAAATTAAGAAATATCTCTCACAGCCGTGTAAATGGATATAAAATTGTAAAAATGGAAAACAATGCGAATCTTGCGAAATTGACTCAAAATATGATGAACTATACATATAATTTTATTTTTACCCCTACTATCCTAACTTGCTAAGATAAAGACCAATGCGAATGTCACCTCGTACCAAAATCATATATCTGACGAAAAATCATATACAACTGTAACTTAAATTAAAAAAGCATATCTCTAACGAAAAACAATACATTATGGTGATAGAATTAGAGGATATCATCATAGAGCTTATAAATATTGATTGCAGAAATTAAACCCATTATGATTCAAGTAATGATAAATTCTGCCATTGCATCAAAAGTATCAAAAGCTGCTCCCAAATTTAACCCCTATCATACTCATCCCCCCCAAATAAAATTACAAGAATCATTCTCGTACCAAAAACCCATCATGAATCGTACCAATACCGATTTCATAACATTATATATACCCCTATCGAAACCTATATATATATATATATGTATATATATACGTGTGTGTGTGTATATATTCACACCCCAAAACCTCCGGTCTATCATTGCACTCTCTTTCTCTCTCTGTATTCAAGACAACGTACAGAGAAAAAAATGGATGCAAGAGATGAACACTACCCAACATACTACGTACAGAGCCCGTCATCGTTATTCCAAGACCCGGGATCCGAATTCCAGTCCCCGACCCGACCCGACACGACCCCGTTGGTCCTCGCTGCGGAGAAGACTGTCGTGGACGTGGACGACTTCCCTCGATACTCCGTCCTCTCCAGGTACTCCGACAACAATTCGTTCTGCGACGACAAGGCCGGCGGCAACATGGTGGTGGTGAAGGGCCGTGTGGTGGTTGTTCACGGCGGAGATTCCACGGCGGATGAGTGGAGCTCCGGCGGCGGAGGACGACGGTGGTGGAGGTACTTGACGTTTAAGAGCTCGGATTCTGGTTATTGGATAGCCATGCAAATGTGTTGGAGGTTTGTGTTTAGTTTGGGAGTGGCTTTGCTCGTCTTTTACATCGCCACTCAACCTCCTCCTCCCTCCTTCTCCCTCGAGGTACGTTTTTATATATATATATATATATATATATATTATCGATTTATTGCATTTATATATGACGGTGTAAATAATTTTATTGGTGATTGTGTAAGTCCTATAAAATAGTATATAGATGGTAACTAAATTCTTGAAATGATATAGAGATCGTTAATAAGATTCAATATCCTACAATGAGTGCTACTCTTGGAATGTTTCTAGTTTTTTCCATTTTTATTTTTTTTTAGTTTATGGAACGAATGTTGGATAATGAAATGAATTATTTGGACCAACTGATATCATTATTCACTACTCACTCCAAAAATGTGGGAGAGAGAGATTAATCCATAAGCAAACATTTTTGCAATTTCGGACTATATAATAAAAAAAGAGTATTGATGACTTGATAACTGTGGTCATCACTCTTGTTAGATTTTTATTTTTTTAGAAGTGTACACTTCGGATTTTTAATTCGTTTCTGAATATTTTGTTTTTCGTTCTTTTAAAAATTGTACCAATACCCGATCGTATTCGTATTTGATTTTAATTTAAAAAAATATTTTTAAAAATTCGTTCTCACTTATTTTAGATCATAAATCAAATTAATTTAATTTAAAAAGATATATTTTTAAATTGGGTTCGAATAAGATGTTTATTCGGCTCCGAATAGAAATGTGACGTCATTTAAGAAAGCCCATGTGGCCAACTAAAGCCCAATAACTCCAAAATATGTCAATTTTAACGGCTCAATAATTAGTTGACCGAACATAATAAGGACCTTGCCTGGTCAACTCTGTGATTCCTCAAGAAAACATGAAATCTGGGTTCACATCGTTACGTTTTGTAACTTATATAGGCGAAAGCTCAATATTATGACCATAATTAGCAATTATATATATATATATATATATATATCGAATCGAATTTAATACGACGATTGCAGGTTGGAAGGGTGAGTGAGTTCATACTGGGCGAAGGCGTAGATTCACATGGAGTTACAACCAAGATTCTAAGTTGCAACTGTTCAATCAAACTCATTGTTGAAAACAAGTCTAAGGTCTTTGGCCTTCACATCCATCCTCCTTCCATGGAGATCTCCTTTGGCCACATCGCCTTTGCAAAATCTCGGGTTAGTCCGTCGATCTATGTAGAATTTTCTCCGAGTATTTCACATTTTTCGGGTTATAAACTTTGTGTTCTTTCAATTGATTTCATCATTATTCAATCCTCCTCTAGGGACCTAAATTATACGCCGAGACTCGTGATTCGACGAGTTTTCGTCTGAACGTTGGGACGAAGAATAGGCCGATGTATGGAGCGGGGAGAGAGATGGACGAAATGCTGAAATCGAGCCGGGGATTGGCTCTAACCCTAAGGATGGATTTGGTTTCGGATTTTCGAGTTGTTTGGAAGATTATAAACCCTAATTTTCGCCATCGAGCTGAGTGTTTGTTGCTTCTTGGTTACGATGAGAGACACAAGCAAGGTTCGGTGAGAAGCAAGGTTTGTAGATCGGTCTCTGTGTCATAAAATCTGTAATCGTTTATTTTTCCGAATATCGAATAAAATGGACAAGTGAAAGTCGTGAATTCATGGTATGCGTAAATTGTGTAGAAATTGTATTAAAGCCCTGTATGAATTTTAAAAGTCATGTTTAGTAATCAAGGTTTCGTGAATGAGCCCCAATATATTAATTGAAACACTATAAATCAATCAAATTCAATTTTATTAATTTCATAAACTCTAATAGATACAAAACTTAAAATTTTGTAATTTTGTAACTATTTTAAATCCATAAATTGAAACTTTTACATTATTTAAAATCATGTTTACAAATTTTATAAAATATCTTCAACTCAATTTAAAATTCTAAACAATTGAAATCGAAAATTGAAGAAATAAATCAATATTTTTTTTCATGAAACGAATAGGAATACATCTTTTATCTGAAAAAAAACGACGACAAGATGGAGACATGAAACAAGCAGGCAAAAAGAACGTGAATTATTATATCAAAACAGTGTAATACAATACAATACAATACAACAATATATATAAACTTTTTGTCAAAAAAAAATATATAAACAAATATTAAGACACACAAATAAATAGGCACTGAAAAATCAGATAATTGATGATACTTCACTCTCAATCTTTCTTCGACTTCAACAGTTGATCCCACATTCCTGAACGTCCGGACCGGTGACTCGGGTCGTGAAAGGATCGATCCGGACCCAAAGGAGCGAAAAGATGGAAGCCAGAAGGACCGACCAGACAACAACAATGGTCGGAGTTCTGTTCTGTCTCCCCATAAGTCCCTTGAGGAAAGGGTAGAGATGGATAATGACCCAGAACGCAAAGAATAACTTACCAAAAAGCGGTCCCCATGACTGGTAGCCGCTATTGACGGCGTACGAGATTCCGGCCACGACCCCGACGATGTTTATGATGAGAAGTGTCGTGGGCGGGATGAGGAGAGTCGTCCATTTGAACAGGTAGAGCTCGGCGAAATCCCCGTCCTCGTCCGATGCTTTTGAAGTGACCGTGAAGTTCGTGTCTATGCCCGCGAGGACTTTGAGTAGTCCTTGGAAGACGGCGAAGAGGTGGGCTGATACGCCTCCGATGACCCAGAACTGCTCGTTTCTCCACCATTCGTCGATGCCTACTCCGCTCCATCGCATCTCGAGGATACCCGTCGCGAAGATCGACAAGAAGAGGGACAAGAACCATATGCTTGCCAGGTTGCTAATCTGAGAAGGGCAAGAAAAGATATTGTTGGTATCGAATTTTCGGATTGATGTTTCTGTCGAAATAACAGATGATCTAGAGAAAGAGATTGAACCTGCGGGATAATGAACTGGTTGGTGAAGAGACAGACCGCGGGAAGAGTACAGTACATGAGGAGAGGGATGGAAGTGATGGGATAGATCGTGGTGTTAATGTAAGCGAATCTCTCGAGCCATTTCAGCCGACCGCTGTAACCATACCAAATCGGGCAATGTCGGCTGAAAAGGATTTCCACGGAACCGAGAGCCCACCGAAGCACTTGGTTCAGACGATCAGAAAGATTGATCGGAGCAGATCCCTTGAAAGCAGGAAGCTTAGGCATACAGTAGATCGATCGCCAACCTCGAGCATGCATTTTGAATCCGGTAAGAATATCTTCCGTAACCGAACCATAAATCCATCCAATCTGTGACCAAAAGGAAGGTACTCTCAGAAGAAATGCATGATTCAGAAAAGTTTAAATTAACATACGAGGGATTAAACAACGAAGCGGGTTAAGAACAGGGGAAAACGGAACACACCTCGCTTCCCCACTCTGTTTTGTCTTCGTATCCGCAACTAATGACATGAATAGCCTCTTTAAGAAGAGTTTCGGGAGTTGCAGACTGTGGGACACCGCCATTCTCCATAAGGGTAGATGCCACGAAGACGGCAGACTGTCCAAATCGCTTCTCCAGGCTCATTTGCGACATCAACATCGACTTCTCATCATCAAAGCCGGCCCCTAGTTTATATAAACGTGCAGTTGTTCAAGATAAGAAACTCAGCAAACGGAACCGCGAATATAGTTCTCAAACCCGGAAATACTTTTGGATTGTTCCATGATGCAAACGCAAGAGAGGAAAGAGAAATGAGAGCCCAAATCCATTAACAGAAATTAACAGAGGAAATACGGTTTTACCTTCTACTCCCTCTTCGATATCCTCGAGATTGAATACCGGCACTGTGGAATCAACATGCTTTTTAGATTTCTTCGAATCCGATCCCTTTTTACTAGATTTTGAGTTCTTTCGTGAACCGCCACAGAGAGAGGACAGGACGCTAGGCTTCTTGTGCTTGGGTTTCACTGGCGGGTCCTAACCGTACAGTGCCGTTCTGTTAAAGACACACCCAGTTCCGACATAAACAGGTCCTTGAATTCCATCCAAACCTCTCAAATTTATCTGAAACATATTCAAGAAAATACATGAAACCCATACAAGCAATGATAGATATATCCACATAGTCCAACGGGAATATGCTTAAAATCATAATCATCTTGTGAAATTTGGATGCTATTGCTAATAAGAAATGCATACTTACATCGGACGCTAGGCTTCTTGTTCTTGGGTTTCGCTGGCGGTTCATAACCGTACAGTGCCGTTCTGTTAAAGACACACCCAGTTCCGACATAAACAGGTCCTTGAATTCCATCCAAACCTCTCAAATTTATCTGAAACATATTCAAGAAAATACATGAAACCCATACAAGCAATGATAGATATATCCACATAGTCCAACGGGAATATGCTTAAAATCATAATCATCTTGTGAAATTTGGATGCTATTGCTAATAAGAAATGCATACTTACATCGAAGAAGACAGTGTTACGGTTGGCATATCGATCATTCTTATCAATACCATCAAATCTCTGTGGAAACTGAACATAACACACTTGCTTCCCAAGGTTCGGGTCCATCAAGAAACACATAGCTTCTCTCAAGGCCTTACTGTTATTTATGTAGTGATCACAGTCAAGATTCAAAAGGAAGGGACCATTTGTAAGTACCGCTGAAACTCGAACCTGCAAAGCAATGTTTATCACGGAGTTAGAAAAATATACGATACAATTAAACACTAGGCTCGGATTTTTCGTTTTGAGCTACCCACAAGAGCATTCATGGCACCAGCCTTTTTGTGATGCTGGAAACCTGGGCGTTTTTCACGAGAAACGTAAACTAGACGTGGCAGCTCATTGCCCTCGGCATCCAGACCTCCATTCTGACCCAAGAAAACCTGAAATCCATAATTTCCACATAAGAATCGAAAGGATCCAAAAACCACAACCAAAGCAAAAATGTTTCAGCTTCAATGTTTCGAATATAGAAAAACAAAGAAGCTCTGTACAATGAACAGCGGAACTGAAGAAATAAGTGGTTTTCACCTGGATCATTCCCGGATGATCTCTGGTGTTGTTTCCAGGCCATGGTGTACCATCTTGCATAACCCATCCTTCTTCAGGAACTTTTTGAGCTTTTGCAACAAGAGCATTAATCCGGATCTTGAATTCCTCATATTCTCTCTGCAAACAGAATGTAGAGATATATAGCCATCAAAAGTATAGATCAGAAATCAGATGGCTCAGAAAACCGTGCTAATCTTACCTTCATAGCTCTACGTTCCTTCACAAACGATGGCTGAACTTTGTCCTTCAGGTAGTCAATCTTCTGTGCAAAGTACCATTCTGGAGCCCGAGGCTCAATGTTGTATTTCTTGCAAAAAGGAACCCATTTCCGTGCAAATTCTGATGTCTCGGAGAGGGCTTCAAAAGTCAACATAGCAGCACCATCATCAGAAACATAGCAAGAGACCTTGTCAACTGGGTAATCAACAGAGAGGATGGAGAGCACAGTGTTGGCCGTCACAAGGGGAGGCTCTTTTAATGGATCCACAGTACTGACAAATATGTCTACAGCAGCTAATTGTGATGGCTCTCCTTCCCGATCGTACCTGTCAAAGAAACCATATTCCAATCAGTGACCACTAATGTGAGCTTAAAAAACAAGCAAACAAATATATATAAAGAAAGAGATTATACACCATAAGATGATAGCAGCGAAATCTATGATAAAATGATGTACAGAACTGAAGAAAATCTTGCCTTAGAGCCAGCCTGTCAAGATACGTCTCACGATTCACAGGAAGCCACTTAGGGAACTGATCCAATATCCAGGATATGGCAAACCAAATCTCGCATATTACTGAGACTAACCACAGACCAAACGCATTTGGAACCGGATTCGTTATCCGGTAGTGCAAGAAGAGGCAAAGAATGACAAGCCGGAGAACTATAACCATCCTGTAAGGATTTATCCTTGATGATGGAACCGAAACCTTTCTTGAAAGAGGCTGCCGAGCTTCATCATTCCTACAAAACAAGCAGCCTACAGTTATGTGGTTGCTTACATAAAAGCTTTTGCTGCTTCCTGGAAAAGGAACTATCACTTGATGACTCATACACACAACCATGCACAAGGATCATGATTCATGAACAGTGTAGAACAACAAGGTCGGTTTAAAACATATTCAGGCATTTTTTGGGCAGCCAAAAAGCATCATAAAATAACCCGGAAAATGCAGGTACTTCAACAATGTAATCAAATTGGAACTTACAGCAAAGAGTCATCCACGAATACATCAGTGCTGGTCTCATTGTCACCACCCCTTTCAGAGGCAGCTAGACCAGTGCTCATAGGAATTACATTCTTCTCTTGCTTCATTTTCCAGCCATCGACTCTCTCCTTCCACGCCACATTGCCTATTCCTGGTGAACCAAACTCCCTAACAGGGTCTACAACCCTTATGTTGGCTGCACCAAATGAAACAAGGCCCATTGAACCAACATCATGAAATGCACCCAGCGGAAGATAAAGTGAATGAAAAGAGAAAGAGAATCATACGAGACTGATTGATATCACTGGCATATGGAAGACGTTTTCCACCACCACGAGGAGGTGATGCAATGGAGAGTCGCTCAGGCGAGGCAGCAGACAGCTCTCCTGATACCTGCAAATATCCAGAGGTGTTAAAAGCCAGTTATATTAGTTAAGGTTGCAATACTAGACAAAATGCTTGACCAGCAACCTCTTGTCCACTGGTGAGACGCGGAATGTGGTTATGTGAGGGTTCTTTGTCATATTCCGGAAGCCCGAGGTCCCCACTCTGGCCACCTGTCAAATGCCAGCTTAACATACGCTCTGAAATTTTCTGCTTCTGGCTTTGGTTATCAGGTGTGTAACTAAACCCAATAGCATCTTCATCAATGTTGACATCCTCTTCAGCATCTCCAACAATTGCAGGGCTACCTAGAATCAAATGACGTTTAAGAGTTAGTTTGGTCTATAAATCAACCAATTTCTCCGTTTTCAGGCAACATGAGCTTTAAAACATTACTCATAAAACAAAAAACAAAAATCATATTGATGGAAGAGCCCATTCAGAAAGCTCTAACACAATCTTAAACATGAAAACATGCTGAAATCGAAAGGCTTTACGTAGTCAAGATGTAGGGGAGTCAGATCACATCAATGATCAAATGACAATTCAGGAAATTGAGACATGTTACCACCTTTGTGCCTCTTGTACTTAGTCTTGCATTGTGGGCACGACTGGTTCCCATCCTTCCTCTCGTACTCATAGCACGCCCTACAGACAGGAAACGCACAGACATCGCAGGCCACAAAGGGATCACCCTCTGCTGTTTTGCCGACGCTGTCACCACAGATCTGACAAACCTGTCCTCCAAGACTCTTCATGGACTTCGCCTGAGAAACAGAGCATTGCAATGTTACAAAACTAAGAACCCAATTGAAAAACCTCATTTCATTCGCTTTCCAGGAAAACCCGAATCACGAGTTCACTGATCAAACTTAACAAAGGCAAAGATAATCGTGCTACCTCTTTCCATTCTATATACTTACCCCAGATTCGCCTTCTGCTCCAATCATAGTTGGATTCTCCTCGATCACCAGTTGAATACCAGATAAAGAAATGGCAAGTGAATCTCAACTAGATCTGGACATCCATACGGGATCTACACGTCTTCTCTCTCGGACCAGATAATGCAAAACACCAGGATCTGCGGTACAAGAACAAGAGTCAGATCGTGCCATTCAACCAATGTGTACGACAGCCAAAATTTCAGAAACCAACACAAATCAGTCAACGATCACTGTAACACTACCAAGATCTTCGGATAGCTGATATAGTGCTCCAAGCTTAAATTACACAGGATTTAGAATTTACCCGGATTCCAAACACAAATTCAGGACGAGAAAATCGGAATCCAGCAGACGAAATCAAATGCGAGTCAACTATCAGAACTCGAACGAAAACGGATCTAAAACCTGGGAAGGCGGATTCAGCCGAGGAACGAGACGGAAGAATTGCTGCCTCTGTCCCTCGAGCAAGAAGAAGACAAATGCAAGTGGAGTGAGTCGAGATCGAGATCTAGAGAGAGAGAGAGAGAGAGAGAGACAGAGAGACGCGGGGAGAAAGATTGACGAGCTTTATACGACTGAGTAGATAGCGAAGTGCTCACACCGACAGAGAGAGAGAGAGAGGGAAAGCATACATACACCAACCAACCCGACTCAGCAATTTTTTTCTATTATTTTGTAATTATGAAAAAAAAAACTGAAAAATGAAAATCTTGGACCTGAAATTGAAAATTGCAATCTGTGTAAAGACAAATTCAATTCAGTTTTGTGTATTTTTCTTCCTTTCTTGTATGTTCTTCTGTTATGTTATTTCCCCTTTTTGTTAAGTTTAATTTTGTTATCTCCTTTTTTTACCCATTTTGTTATATCATATTGCAGTATTTTATTTTTGTCCAATTTATCATTCTACAATATCGAGGAGAAAATCTACTCACAACACTTTGCAAGTGTTTTAGTTTTTTAGGCTTAATTTAATTTGATGCGTAAAATTAAATTAAAAGATATGGAATTGTATTCGAAATTAACTAGATTTAAATTATATATATAATAATTAAATAAATTAATCGAAAGCCAAAATCAATCTAAATCAAAAGAAAATTTAAACTATAAAAAAATAAAAAATAAAATAAATTTTAAAATTAAAACTAATCGAATTTGATTAGCGAACTATTTATCCCTAAATATTTTACTTTTGTTTCGTGCTTTTTGTAATTTTTGTTTGATGTTATTGAATTAATTAAGTGAAGTTGACGGTGCGAAGTGCCGCCAGCTAGAGACACTACCGACACAATTTTTTTATATTATTATTATTTGTTGTTGTTGTTGTAGTTAAATAAATGTGACATTATGAATTCATTCAATATATATATATATATATATATATATATATATGTATGTGTAGATTAAATAATATTTTAATAACTGAATTTAAAGAGAGATTTTTGTGATCTTTTTCAATCTTTCCCCCTACGTTTTTGGGCAGAAATTTACAACCACTGTCACCCCATTTCAGCATAAAAGACCCAGCAATATTTTAACATTTTAGAATTTGATTTAGCAGGAAAATTAAAAGATCTGAATATATACTTAAAGACCTGATTTTTCTTTTTGGAAAAATATGCTTAAAAGGAAGAACACCTTACATGAATTATTATTATTACATCACCCTAATTACACAGTACAAAGGTATCAAAGAACTTGCGCTACTTACTCAAGTAACACATGCAGAGGTTGTTTGTGTGTGTTCTGTGTTCTGTAAGAAGGATTTGAGACTAAATCAGAGTGTTCATGATGCAAAAGTGCAAGGCTTTAGGAACCAAAGCACATCCAACACTCTCCCTTCTTTCCCTTCTTCTTCTTCAGGACCCGAGGCCGCCATTAACGACGAGCTCTTCTTCTCCCTCCTCTCCTCTGCTCCCCTCTCTTGAAGGACTCCCCTTTCCTGTCCACACATTCAGTGTAATGCTGCTCTTCTTGACTATATATATGCACACACACACACACACGGAATGCTCTATGTGTTTTGATCCATGAAACGATCATGTGTTTTTCATGTTTTCAGCACATAAAGCAAAAAAGGGGGAAATGTGTTTCATACCATAGGTTTGGATCTCGAGGGCTTCTTCGAATAAACTGCTTTAGTTGCAGAGAAGCATTGAGGAGATGGAGGATTGGTCCTGATTTGCAGTAAACTTAGCTCCTCTCCTTTGTTCTTCACGTTCTCCAGATTCATAGCCATGGGGATGATGTTCTCTGCTTCATCAGCTCTCCTGTAACAGGGAAACGTCAAACCACTGCAATATCTATCTTTTTATCCACAACATCAAAACCCTGTATATAACATTCATAGCCGTCTACTTACTTCTTCCTTCTACGCTTCTCCTTCCCACTGCTTCCCCTCTCTGTCATCTCTTCAAGCTTCTCTTTACCCACTTCCATCAATGGCGTTCTTTGCTTTCTCGCCTCCGTTTCAGCTTCACTGCAATGTTCATTCGTTTCACCCACTTGGGTTTTCTTAGTATTTGGCTTTACGACAGCTTCCTCTCTCTCAGTCACTCTTGTCGCCAGTCTCTTCAACTCGTGGCAGAACTCAGAGATATGTCCAAGTATGTCCCTCCCGGCAAATAGATTTCTCGCCGACAATGTGCTCTTTAGTCTCGGCGCCGCTTCGTCCCGAAGCTTGTCGTGAGTATTCGTCGTCTTTTTGACTGAACTTGATTTAAGTGCTGATCTCCAGGATCTTGTTTGGTGGCTCGGAGGTGGCGTAGCGAAATTAGGGTTCTGGTTTTCGCTATGGTCATTGTTCGGAGTTGATGGTGGAATAGTCTGTGCATTCTTCCTCGATTTCGCATCACTGAGTAAGAAACGAAATGACTAGTAAGATCAAGACTCGAGATTGACGGAAACTATTCGAAACCCTAAACCTATGAAACTGAGATGTGCAGGTACCTCTGCTTCATATCTCTAGCTGCGGCCCCGCTACTTGGAAGCTTCATAAAGAACAAGCAACGAACAAGAAGCGTAAGAAACATGGGCAATTATCTAAAAGGTGAAACATTGTCTGCAGCCATGGAAGAAGAAAGCAGGCAGAGAAGAGGGAGAAAGAACCCAATAATCAAACCCTAGAATTCCGATTCGAAAAAGGATAAAAAGCTGAAATCTTAGAGACGAACAGAGGGGGGACGAAAAGAGCCCACTTTTCAAACCCTAGAATTGGACTCCATCAAGGAAAAAAAAGTTGGAATCTTTGAGGCACAAACCCAACCTTCGGAGTCACCGGGTTGAATGTGAGGAAGTCCTCAGCTCTCTTGGCATGATCACAATCTGAGTTCAAACAGAGAAAACCATGAGAGGAGAGAGAGAGAGAGACAGAGAGAGAGAGAGATAGGGGGGGTACCAGGTCTGCAGAACCAAGCGTCGGCGTCGACTTCGTAGTCGTCAGGGCTCAAGAAATCGAACCATTTGGGAGCTTGGATGTGTTCGTACAATACATCTTCGACGAAGCGAGAGTCGATTCTCTTCCAATCGATCTTCGCAGGCTCCATTGTTTCAGCAACGACGATGACGACGACGACGAAGAAGACGAAGACGAAAAGATACAGAGGAGACGCAAGAATCTTGAGAAAGAAGAAGGGAGAGAATGTAACCGTTGGAGATCCATGTGCTTGTGACCCTTATGACCGTTGCACATTTTTTTTATTAATTAATTACATAAAACAACAAAATATATATATATATATATATATATATTACTTTTTTTCAAGGAAAAAAAAACTTTTGGGCTTTTCAGCTTCAATGCGTGAAGAATAACGAGAAACTTGAGAAAAACGTACCATCTATGCATAACCCTCCCTGCTTTCATATCAGAACCTGCGGTCGAATACGTCGGTTTAATTTAATTTAATTTGACACGGTTAACATTTGTTATAGCTTTTCTTTCTTTTTTTTTTTTTTGTGGAAAAGCATTATAATTTTTTCTTTCAAATGATTTACAATTAATGGTTGACAATACATGACATGTTCGAGATTATAGAATTTCGGGTATCTAAACTTTACTCTATTGATACATAAAAAAATGTCAATATCCGTCTATATTTTCAAAAGATCTTTTGAAGATGAAAAAAGAAAAGACAAGACAAGAGAAAGAGATTTCGAAAAAAAAATAGATAATAAATATGTTTATGCATTGATAAACAGTAGCAATTTCAAATATATATATATATATATATATATATATATCTATATATATAAATTTATGTTCAAATAATTTATTGTTTTAAATCTCGAACACAAAGTATTCGAATTTATTATACTACTAATTATGGTATTACATTGATCTGCCTCGATAGATGAGACCAAATAGAAAGACATTTAACGCCGCCAAACCCCAAACCCTAAATCCAAAACGCAAACGCCAAATGTGGGGTAGAGAGTATAGAGAGTATTTGGTTCTTGCCTTGCTGTTACCATCTATAGGAACACAGGAGGTCATTTTATTCAAATAATCCACTCGGATGGCAGCAATTTCTCATGTACACCACTAAAAAAATAAAAACAAAAAATTCAATTTTATACTACTTTTTCGTTCAAAATGTCCGAAATAACCTTTCTTTCATATTTTTTTACGACTTTTATTGCGACTGATATATAACTAATATATGACTAAAAAAAGTATTTATGATTGTATAATAAGTGAAGGTCTAAAAAAACATAGTCATTTTTTAAATTTGAAAGATGTATTTTTTGCCACCTTATTTAGAATCAATTGCATCTGTGTTTAGAATTAATTATGATGTCGCAATTACAATTCCTTTTTGAATGGACAAATTATACGGTTAAATTACAATATAAACAGTATATTAATCTAAAATATTAAAATACTAAAACGGGAATCACAGTGTTAATAACAAGTCACGAATGCTTTTGTTGAACCCATTTTCTTAATCCTTTTTTAATGAAAACTAATAATAATAATAATCTCTTATGATAATAATTATATTTATTATGAATAATATTCCAAACAATGTTTACCCCCTTTTAGAACACTAATAAATGTACGAACAAGCAGTCCGTTTTCTGTTGTTGTTTTTTTTTCCTGGAGAGAGATATTTACAAATCTTCTATTTATTAATGGTTAAGATTATGATTTTGATTCCAAAACTGACTCTGCCATTTTTGCTTGACAGGATTTCTTTGTGGGAAATCAAATATTTTTATTTAATGGCGTATCTTCAATAGATAGATTTCCATTTCAATTCACCAACAACATAAAAAGAAAACTCTGCTTCCATTTTCCCGCGAACCAAACAGAAAGTACAAACCCTAAATTGGAAGCTCGCCCTCGTTTCCGTCCAAACAAAAGCAGAGCAATACAAAGGATACTACACTTAAGCACTGAGCAAGAAGAACCAGATTCAATAGCCGTCGTAGTGGACTGAATCTGATCCAAATTATGGGCCCCACCGCCTCAGCCATTGGAAAATCCCATCATCCTCTCCCGGAAAACCGATTTCGGTTGCCGGAAAACCTCCGACGAACCACTTCCCGGGAGACGATCCGATTGGAAAACGACGTTAAGGAAGTGGATGAAGGAGAAGAACACGGCGGAGACTAGGCTGTACGGACGGCGGAGGAACGGATCGATCGACGAGTTTTATTCGTGTCGCCGTATGAAAGTGGACATGTAATTGAATGTATTTACGGAAATACCCCATATTTACCATAGGGTGTAGCTAAAAAGGAAAATGTCTTTACCCCTGATATTTGTTATTTTTTTCGACTCCGTATTTTTTTTGTAGTTAATTAATATTATAATCATTATGCAATTAATTAATCTAAGAAAACATATTTAATTAAAATATGCCATAGATCCGTCTCATAGTTTTGAGAGATCATGTTCAAAATACAATCAAGTTTATTGTTATAAAACATTTGATTGAAAAAAATACTTTTTAATACTAATTTGTTTATTTTTTAAAGGATAAACTAAAAAAAATTTATAGTTTTAAAATTTCTTTAAAAAACCCATCTATTTTCAATTAATTATTTAAAACCATCAAGTAAGTATTTTAATTAAAAAAAAGACAATCTTTAAGTTTATTTTGGTTTAAGATGAAGTAGTATACAAAATAAAATTTAAAAAACTAAAATTTTTAAATAAAAACAATGCAATTATCCTAAAATAAATAAGACGATATCTAGATCCTTTAGATAATTATATAGTTAGACATAATTTTAAAAACATATTTCTATATTTGATCATTTAAATCACAAATAAAAATACTAAAATAAAACTATATATCAAATTCTGATAATTTAATGTGTTAAAAACAAGACCTTGATGATAAAATTTCAAAAAAAAAAAGATACATTATATATTTTTTTACATCTACGAAAGAACATCAGAAATTCAAAGCAACAAAAAAAAGATAATGTTGCAAAATGGACAAATTTGGAAAAGAATTAAAATTATAGATTTACTTCATCTTGTAGTTTTAAGTTCATATATATTGCTATTTGTCCATAAAATAAATTATAAAAGATAAAATTCGATGATACGTTTTGGTGAAATTTGTTTACGATGAAGTGCATGTAAAATAATATTTTATAAAGTTTTTTTTGTTTATATAATAATGTAATATATGGATATTTTTTTTGTTTTTTAAGATAATGATTGATTTAAAATTTTTTATTTTCCAAAGTTGTAATGCCATGTCATTTTAAATAATAGACACTTGAAAATGTCTTTTTAATTAAAAAATATATTTATTGGTTTAAAATAATTAATGGAAAGTATATGGTTTTTTTAAGAAAACAAAAATTAGGAGGTATTTTCTGAGTCTATCCCCTTTTTAAAATATTAAGTGATTAAAAATTACGAACTCAAAATGATAACTACTACAATACAAAAGATTATTATAATTTAACAAAATTTAATCTTTTTAATCTATAAATTTATTTCATATTTTATTTAAAATCGTATTAAATTTTTTTAAAAATATACTAAGAAAGTGGGTCCCATGAAGGTGGGGCCGTGTACGGAATGACGGCCCCTTACCTTATAAGTATCAGACGATCTTAACTTAGATTCACTCTCTCTCACTTCTCTCACTCTACGCAGACGTACTCTGTCTCTCTGTAACCTTCATCTCCGTCGAGAACCATGGGAACGAAGAGAAAGATTGCAATGGCTAAGCGAGAAACGAAGTCGCAGAGATCGGTAACGTTCAGCAAACGCCGTCTAGGGCTTTTCAAGAAAGCCGCCGAACTCTCCGCCATCTCCGGTGCTCAAATCGCGGTTTTAGCGACTCCTCCTTCCGGAAACCCCAACGCCGTCTACTCTGGTCCCTTCGGTCACTCCTACACTGACGCCGTCGTCGACGCCTTCCTCAGCGGCCGTATTCCGACAGCGCATAATTTCTTGCCGGACAAGAATCTTGGGTCTGGGTTTTTGTCGGAGAACTGCGATGACGAACTCGGAATCCTCATCGAGAAACTAATAAGCGATCTCAAGAACAGTCCTGGGTCTGGGTTTTTGTCGGAGAACTGCGATGATCCTGACGAACTCAGAATTCAAATCGAGAAACTAAGCGATCTGAAGGACTGTGTGGGTATAATTCAGCGGAAGAGAGAGGAACAGATCGTTTCTTGCGGACATAATCTTGACAAAGACAGCAACGCAAAGTCTGCGCAGTTCGAAGGGCTCTGCGATCTCCAAGACAGATTAGGGCTGAGCCAGCCCAGCAAAGACAAACTTCCTCCTCTGCAATTTCCTGAAGGATTCAACCAATTGGATCCGGATCTCATGAGCATCGACGAATATTTGTCGGGAAACCGCAGTTTGTTCGAGGACTGGGGCCTTGGAACCGATGCCCAGGATGAAAGTTTCGATGGTCTTGATATAACAGGGGAGTGGATCAAATTCGGCGAACAAGATGAAGACAACAATCGTGATAATGGGTTTGGCATCGACTGGAATAATCCGACAATGGACGACGTCTCTTACTTCGACTCCGGACATCCGCTGGCCGAATCTCTACACTGGTAGAAGCCATTCTAAGCTTGGAGAACTGAAAAGGAGAGGAAGGTTTTCATTCTGCATAGTATTAAGACCACACATATTTGTAGTAAACCTCGTCGTAATATCTGAGCAAATGCTTGAAGATGGTCGAATTGCTATGAAACAGAAGAGTTACGTAACATCGAATTTCCTTTTCATTTATAGAATTAGATTAATAAATGATAGTTGCCGTACGTTCTATAAGCTAATATATCTACAAGACTATTTCCATTGTCTTGTAGAATTAGATTAATAATTTACTCAATCCTATTAAATTATATATTATACATATTTATGATATTAAATTATTATTATTATAAACATAATTTTTATATCGAATAAAAAACATATAAATTAAAAAAAATTATGGTTTTTGATATTTTATTTGAATTTGTTATGATTGAAGTTTTAAATGAATATTTAGTAGTAATAAGGATTTTTATACATTTTAAATTTTTTTAAGGCTTATTCGGAGTCATGAATACTTGAAGTTTTAAATGTTTATTGTGAGAGTATTTTTTATAGCAAATTTTCAGAGTCAACGACAGAATCTTCGAGTCTAATCGGAATTATCTTCTCGTTTATTTCTAATAGAATGAAATATTGTCCAGAACTCTAAATTTATTACTATCAATTTTAAAATTTCTGAAATTATGCTCATATTTAGTGTACCAATAGATAATTTTTGTTAGATTTAATATTTATTTAATAGATTTTCTTTGGGTATCTGGATATCAATGAAGAAACTCAAAGTAATCTAAAGGATTGGGAAAACTAATTTGAATGTCTTCTTTCAAACTTGAAATTTGTATTTGGGGCGGAACAAATGTTAAATGTCCATATTTCACCGGTTGAATTATTCAAATTTAGATTTAAATATAAATTTTGTATTATCTGATATAAATTGTTTTTGTACAACTAATGTAAAATGTTTAAATCATTTAATAATTATGAGATAGTTTCAAAATTGATGGAATTATTTTGATTTTATTATTTCGTTTAGAGCATATTTCGTTGTACTAAAATCATGCAGAACCACAATTATAAACGCAATTGCAAACATGACTTCCGGAGCCAGAAGATTTCTCAAAACAATTTCCGAATCCATTCAATTGACTCAAACATTTCGCCCTACAGTTTGATAGCACACATTGCGTTGTTGGGTCCAATTCTTTTATACACTTTTGTTGTTGAGCCTCATTTCCTATTAACACCGTCATGGTTGTTCTCAACAAAAATAAAAATAAAAATAAAAATCTAATTCAATATCAATAAGTTTATATGTATGTGTATATATATATATATATGGAAAGAATGAAAAAAATGGTTGCGGATAAAAGTACGTGAGACGAGAAGCAACAAAGCCAAAAAAGAACGAGCAAGAACGACTGGCCATGACTTTTTTAGGGATTATGAGTATGATTGTTTTGTATTTTTGTTGTGAATATGTTGGTGAAATGAATGGCTTCTGTGGACTGCTTGTACAGCAAAAGAGAAACAAAAGTTCTGCTCCTTACGTGGAATATTTGGAAATTTATTATTTGACCACAGATTAAATGTATTGGTTTGATCATATCCATCTTCCTCTGGTAATGAGCTCGGGTTTAAGGAACCTGCCACCGGAACCCCTTGCCCTTCTCATGGCATGCAAGTGTCGGCATTCATGAAGATACGGCTGTAGTGAAGGCGGGAGGGCGATGAGATGCTTGCACATGTCAACTAGGCATGGAGTTTAAGTAGTTTCCCTTAACGGGTATCCTTCTTACCTTTCGAACTTTTATCATTTTCTTCTCGAGCTCGGCTTTAGCTCGAATCTGCCTCCGTCTCAGAATACCGTGGTACTGCCCGGGATTTAAATAAATCTGAATGTATAATATTAGTGTGAATCGTCGGTCAAAGGATGAATGGACCTTGGACTAACCCTTCTCTCCATTAACTCTCAAAAACAGCTTTGTGGGTTCATGGAGAAAATAAAAGGGGTTTCATCTGAGGCCTCCTCGACCAGTTAAACAGGAACAGCATCTGCAGGTGGGGTTCCTTCGTCTTACCCATCGTCTTTCTCCTCTAATCCTTAACGCCCATCTGCGTTTGCGTTTGTCTGAATCGACATTTTGCTTATGCGACGTTCAGGCTATATCTCGTGCTGAAAGGTGTGTGGCGTTCCCAGGCAACTCATTCTTGGCTCTGTTCTTATGGCGGTTTGGCTATTGGAGGTGAGAGAGACAATGTAAAGAGAACAGAACATGCTGTCTGGCTCTCTCACTCCTCAAACTTTGTAAAGCTAAAAAAGGAAACACGAATCATACGGACATGTAAGTATGTAACTTTGAACTTACCCTTTTAGGAAACTGTGTTGCGTTGCGGCTGTGAATAAAAAAAAGGCTCATGCCGTCAAGTTTTCAGTCTTGTCTCCATTCTTGATAATGCAGAACGGTTGTCTGTATTTTTGTTATAGAAACCTGTCGTGGGGTTTTTACTTTTTTTAATGGAAGAAAACCAAGGGGTCAACAATGAAACAAAAATTCCGATTTTCGGATATCTGATTTGATTTGTCATCGGATATTCGAAATTAAACCAAGAAATGTATATTATTTATATCAATATATTCAAGATTTTCTGTCGTGTTCTGAAATATATAAAAAGATTAGTTGATATTAAAAGCAATTGAATTTACAGTCACACCAGAGATTGATCTCTTTTGCCCATTTTTTTTTTTGGAGTGGGTAATTTTTTTTTTTTAAAATTATTTATGTTACAGATATATATATTTTAACAATTTTGTTTTTCTACTTGCGAATAATTCGAATTTTATAATAATATTGACTCTGAATACATTTTTTATAGCATGATACCAAAAATGAAAGCGACCTGCCAATTTACAACATATACGCATTATACAGAAGGGATTGTATCTTTAGATTTTTAGTCTTGTTGGGCCGTTAATGGGCCAATAAAGCCCAATATCAAACAGTCATAAGAAATCTCTTACGGATTCTAACAACTTAGGGTTTCAGTCTCTGTTCTGTCGTCTCCGCGAGTTTTGTCTGCGCTTTCAGTTCCAATCTCTCGAGCTTAGTTTTTCATCTTTCCTCCTCCTTTTTTTTCCCATTTATTTTTTCTTTCTCTGATTTTATTTATTTATGTAATAATATAGCTTTTTATCTGTGCTATTGGAAGAAATTTTCTGGATTTTTAATCGAATTTTGGTCCCAGTGATGAAAATTTTAGTAATCTGAGAAAGAAAAATGGAACTCCCTCTACGGAAACTTCCATGGAGGTTGAAGGATCCATTTTTTTGCGGATATTTGGCGTTTTGAGGGATATTTTCTGGAAACTTCTTCACTATTTTTTTTTTATGTTTCTTGTTTAAATGAACAAAAAAAATTCGATTGGATTGTAGATTGATTTTATAATTAAAATTTATGGGATACAGAATTTGGTGTTATAAAATGATACAGAGAACTGATTTGATTTAATTTGAGTGGTGAAATTAATTGAATCACTCTCGTAATTCCCTTCAACTCGATTGACTTATGACACCATGCGAAATCGTTGTAGTTTACTTTTTTTTATATGCGTCGTCATGAAAATAGATTTGAATTTATTTTTTTTATAGAGATGGACCAATTTTAAGGAATGAATCTACTTATTTAATGAAATGTTCCGAATATTGTTTTTTGTTATTTGTATAAAAATAATCATTTCTTTAAAAAAAAAAGGTTTCGTTTAGAATTTCAATTAGAGAGGCTATAAAATCCTGCAAGTCACATAAAGAAAAGTTTCCACTCCAACACCAAATGGCCGATGTTTCAATACCACCTAATAAAATATGGTTTCCATCTATACTATATATGATGCAAATAATAATAATAATAATAATAATAATAATCATCATCATCATCATCAAACAATCAGAGACCTTCTTTGTCTCTAACACAGAGAGATGTTTCACCTAAAGCAACCCTAACTTTGACATCATTTACCATATCTTTTACTTAACTCTGTTTCTGTTGTCACCTGCCCACCTTCTTCTTATCCTGATGTTGGTCCAATAATATTATACCAAATATTCTTACAATGTTATTCGAATTAGTACTTTGTTATAATTTATGATTAAAACACGAAAATCATTCAATTGTTACCATAACTTGATTAGCATGGTAATCATAATGCTAATGTATCGAACATGACCAACTTCGTAATCCTTCAAACACTCGTCGCAGTAACCAGCCATGGATCCGTTAATAATCGCGATTAACCAATCATAAATTTTTTAATTATAATATATTTATTTACAGATCAACAGTTTTTTTTTTGTATTTTTTATGTTCAGTTATCAATTATCATAATAGGAGATGACTGCTATCACAATTGTTGGCGTACTGTATATTCTTAAAAAAATTAGTCCACTAAAAATTCATCTACTTGGAAAATAAATTCAGAGATGTCAAAATAAATCGAACTCTTTTGTTAGGTAAAATTTTATCTGAGTTTGAATGTTATAAAATCAAATAAGATTTAAAAAAAATATTACAATAGACTTTTTTTTATAAGATATTACAACAGAAACTTATTGGAAAGTAAGGAGGTTTGAGGTTGATTTGCACATTTCTATCCATTTTCAACATTTATAATATTATGTATTATTAATCATATGGACAAAAGATAAATTAAATAAAGATTCACAGCCCAACCAACCTTCAAATTTTCAAATTTTGAGAATATCGTTGTCACATTTACACGAATTTATTTACATTAAACTAAAAATTTACACAATTTTTATGTTGTGGGAGTGTTTTTCTTACACTAATTTAATACAAAAATAAGTTTAAATATTTTTAGAGTATTTCGGATAGGGTTGGAGATGCATAACTAATAACGTTGAAGTTAAAACCAACAAAACTGCTTCTAATTTAAAAGATCATATATGATAAATTAATATAAAATTTTCAGTTATCAGTAGATAACCTAATTCAAAGCCAAAGTCAATATTAATGAGGCCGAGATTAGCTCTTCTAATTTAGAAAAAGTTTCCCATGACAATTTTTTACGAATATTTTTCATATATATTAGTATAGTCAAAATATTTAACAAACGGGTAAGAATACCAATTAATGGACTGTTACAAAATACAAAAAAAAAAAAAAACATTTTGCCCCACTAATTAAGTGCATATATTCATTGTAAATATGTAACCTCTACGTTGTATATTCCGTGACTTCCGGGAAAGCTTTTGGACTTTGATAATAAGTTTTCGACCATGTTACACAATATCACTACAACTAGTGTATATATACATAATGTGTATATATATATGTATATGTAAAGTATTGTGATTCTCAACACACATTTCGGTCGATCGGTCGAAAAGTTGGTATATGTAAAAAGGTTAAAAAAAATGTGAAAAAAATGGTATAATCAATAATATATAGAGATACATAGACACAAATTTATCATTTACAAAATTTTTCGTTTTGAATTTTAAGTTGGTTTCTAAATTTCATGCAAGATATACGAGATAATTCAAAATAAATAATTAATACTAGACTACGTGTCGATTGACTCGATTCAACCACATATAAAAAATGATATTTTTTTATAGATAAAGAAGTTGAAAATTATAAAAAATTGGTCCATATTTCTCAAACTTTGACGGTAACGCCTTTACGTAATTAGTTAATTTCTCATTTAGGTCAGCTTTGATATCAAAGCAACTAAATCTCTAATGTTTGTAACTTATTTGACTGTTTACAGATTAGTATTAAAATCCACATTTAATAGGCTATTAGCATATTTTGTTTTAAATCAAACCTTCATAAAGATTCCTAGAAAGAGAAAATAAATATAGTTTACTAGAATTAAACACACATTAGAGTGCGTGTGTCCTAATTAACGGTGAGCTTATAATGTTTCAGTTACGAAGATTCAACTGCCATTGTATTTACTTCGTGTCTTTAAAGGAAAATAACGAATTCAATGTACGCCATAGAATTTGCGGAAGGCAATAAATCTAATTAAACATATCATTTTCTCTCTCAAAATAATTCATGAAATGCGTGCGTAGAGGTGTATATATATATATACATATATTAACCTAATCTATGAATAATCATTTAAATTTTTTTTATTTTATATATAAATCCTTATTAAGCTCTGAACAAACTCGGACACGAATACATTATATGATTTTGTGGATAAATCAGTTTATAGCGTTCTTATTCTCTCTAAGTAATATTTGAACAAACCAGGTTAGATACATAATTTTGGTCCGTTTTAAAGTATATATATATATATATATATATATATATATAAACGTTTGGTCGATTGAATGTCCAACGTTTCGTCTATCTCTGTAGCATATTTATGTATAGTCAATCAATAAATACTTTGAGAATCATATAATAAATATAGGATAACAAAAACGAGGAATTAGGTCTTGTAATCTTCCCCTGTTTGCCCATGAGAGAGATCATGTTATACTCTTTCATCTCATGCGTTATCTTTCTCTCTCTAGAATCCCATCTCTATAAATATATATATGCACTTTCGCATATCCGACCAATCATTCTTTTTGCGTCAAAACCCACCAAGAATCTAAATTTTTCGTTAACCAAAAATGTACCAAAAACTCTCAATCCTAATCACGATCCTCTTAGCATCCATCTCCTCTTGCTCTTGCGGTTACCCACTTGATCATGAAGATGATGATCTCTTCTTCTCTTCGATCCCGATGATGCTTTTCATGGAACCAATCTCCATAACCACATCTCGTACAACGATTTCAGTGAAAGAGTCCATGTTTTCCACGTACCGAGATCGTATAAATACGGAAAAACCATCGGACCGGTGACCCATCATCGCGTCGGAAATGCTCCCATGTCTTCTCCCCAAGTTTTCAACGTCGATGATTTTGGAGCTAGAGGCGATGGATCCGACGATTCAAAGGCATGCACCCTTGTTGTGATTCGTGTTTTAATGTTCATATCGATGCATTATACGTAAAATGGAGGAGGATATGCATGTTTTGTGGTCGAGAAATTGCGAATTTAATGTTCTTATGAATCTTTCAGGCATTTGAAAAAGCTTGGGATGAAGCTTGCTCGTCCTCTTCGAAGACAGCATTCTTCGTGGTTCCTAGTAACAAAGCTTATCGTCTTAGACCGATCACATTCTCCGGTCCATGTAGACCACAATTCATCGTATTTAAGGTAATGATCTGAAAAATAATATACAGAACGTGCTAGTTTATACATATGTATACACACACGTGTATAACACATAATAATAACATTATATATGGTTTCTTAACTTTGTCGTCGAATAAGATTTATGGAAAGCTCGAGGCCTCGAAGAATCCGTCGGACTACGAGATGGATAGGAGATATTGGATCGTGTTCGAAAGCGTAAATAACCTGCGGGTTGAGGGCGGCGGAATCATCGACGGGAACGGCCAAATTTGGTGGAAAAAATCTTGCAAAATCAACCCTTCACTTGTAAGTTATATACGGGCAATGTATCTCACATTCCGTACAAAAAAGAAGATGTTATATGCAACATATATATATATATATATATATATATATAGCCCTAATTAAACAGATTACGGTGGTACGTTACAAATACAAATTGCATAGGCACTAGAAAGTCTTATATACGTTGTTTTTTAAAGATAGTAAATTTGTTTCGTTTCTTTGTATTTTTGCAGCCCTGCAAGGAAGCCCCTACGGTTAGTAACCCAAACCCTTTTTTTCTCCTTTTTTGTAGAGAAATTAAATAAGAGCCGATATAAATAATAATAATAATAATAATAATAATAATAATAATAATAATAAGAATGAATTATTGTAATTAAATTTTTGGGCAGGCGGTTACGTTTGAGGAGTGCAAGAATTTGATAGTGAGCAAAATAAGGTTACAAAATGCGCAGCAAATGCATTTGACGTTTAAAGACTGCGAAAACGTCAAGGCTTTTGGGATAATGGTGACGTCTCCGGGGAATAGTCCCAACACCGACGGCATCCACGTCACCGCCACCAAAAATATCCTCATCTCCGACTCCGTCGTCCGTACAGGTCAGTTCCATTTTTATTATTTTTATTTGCTTCCGAGTTTAGAAAAAAAAAAGATATTGATAAATTGGGTCTTTTTAATCTTTACTAAAGTCCGAATTTTTAAGATAATTTTTTTATATAATTTATTTTTAACTTGGGTTTTTTTCTTCATTTTTTGGCCTTGAGTGTGTTAATTTGCGACGGGTATTATATATACAAACGCACACGTAGTTGGGAATTATTTTTGCCACGCAATGTGGTTTGGTTTATTTCTTATTGTAATTAACCTTTTTTTTTCATTTTTGTGATAATTATTTTTTTTTTAAAAAAGGTGATGATTGCATATCGATAGTGAGTGGGTCGGTAAATGTGCGGGCGACGGGTATCACATGCGGGCCGGGTCATGGAATCAGGTCCACCATCTCTCCCTAATTTTTTTAACTATATTAATATTATCATCATCATCATTATTATTATTATTCAATGAGTAATTCTCAACTAATTTACATCAACTTCAACAATATTCCATAATAATATATGATTCACGTTATAAATTTCGATCCCATTTTACTTTAATTTACTGGTCCAGTGATGGTGTCTCGAAAATATTTATTTTTTTTAACGTTTTATAATATTAAAAAGAAGTTTTTATGGAATAATAATGCTTTCTTCAAAGTCTGAAAATAACACTATCCTGTTCATTTAGAAACCAAATGAAATTTTCTTGTGCTCTTTGTAAAATAAGATTTTGGACATAAGAAGGCATAGTGATTCCTCCATGGTTAGTGTTTTGTATACGCTTTCATTATTACTATATATATATATATATATATAATATAATATAAAATATTAATATAAAAATAATTCTATTTTTAAAAGATAATATATATATATATATATATTACTATGAATAAAAATATGTAAATTTCAAACGCTCATATTGTTAGTGTTTCTATATGGATTTATTGTTTTACTATATATATATACCAAAGCCGTTAGAGATTATGGTACAAATTTAATGTTTTGGTTTGATAATATGAAATTTTAAGTTATTTGTTTGCCGCCGAAGAAGTTGCTGAGACAGCTAACTAGATTAATGGTAATTTATTTATGTTAAAATTAAAATTTAAAAAACAAAATTGCAGTATTGGAAGTTTGGGTGAAGGGAACTCGGAAGCTTACGTGTCAAACGTAGTAGTCAACAAAGCGACCATCATAGGAACCACCAACGGTGTCCGAATCAAGACTTGGCAGGTAAATTTCCCATACGCTTTGCAGGTAAATTTCCCATTCATTTTCAGTAATATGAAAAATGGAATTAACGAATTTAGGGAGGGAGAGGATATGCCAAAAACATCGTGTTTCAAGACATCATAATGAAGAATGTCACCAACCCAATAATCATCGATCAGAATTACTGTGATAGAGATGGTTCATGCCCCGAGCAGGTAACATCTTTATTTTGTTTCATAAGAAAATCTAATTTAATCGAATTATACAAGATTCTTATAAATGACTTTATTGCTAATGTGTATATATATATATATATATATATGTGTGTGTGTGTGTGTGGACGCAGGCATCGGCGGTTCGAGTGAGCAATGTGGTATACAGGAACATACAAGGGACGAGTTCTACTCCCACGGCTGTGAAATTCGATTGCAGTAAGAGCATTCCTTGTAGGGGCATTTCTATGCAAAATGTGAAATTGAAGGACCAAAGTGAAGAAATCTCAAAGGCTTCGTGCTCAAATGTCAATTTCAACACTCGAGGACCAGTCTCTCCGATTTGCACTTAGAAATTCCAACACCCATAATAATAATAATATTATTATTATTTCCCCATCACCTTTTTGATTTGTATCTACACTTAGTTCCTAAGCTAATAGTTATTAAGATAGGTTTTTTTATTTATAATTTGCATTGTCGGAACTAGGGAGTTTTATCAAACTAAAATTATATGACAAAGTTTGTCTTCAGATTTTACAAAAAAAAAAAGTCAACTGCGGTCTACATGTTTTACATGTAGCATTTTGTGAGTTCTTATATATATTTTTTCCAATACTTTTGGAGAGTTAATGTATTTATATTATCTACACTTCGTCCTTTTATTTCGATCATCTCCACTAAAAACCCTCCAATTCTCATAATATATGATAGCCAGTATTTAAACGATGTGATCCACATAAATCAATTAACAGAAGAGCGAATCAAACCAAACTCACATTGTTTTACGGCCAAAAGACTGGAACCTACTTGTTTGAGCATCTTCTCCTCAGGCTCAGGACAAAACCTTCGAGGGTATCTATCTCTGCTCTCGGCAGCATGAAATGAAGAGAACAGTCAGCAAAAAAAAACATTTTATTTTATGAACGAGAGAGCCACGAAAATACCTTCGGATCAGAAAGCGAGCATTAGGGTCTTAGCCTGTACAAGAAACGATCAAATTACCCAATGGGGACAAAAGGGTATATGCACAAAAAAGCTTCAAGCTTTCGTATGGCAGAAGAGACAGTTCCTTATATGAGACTTGAAGTGGTGATTTCTTCGTTGCCGGACCTGTGGAGATCTTCAGATTGTGTTTCATCGTCCATGTCCAGATGCATACAACTCGTTTGGAAGTAATCTATGTCCAAGGAAGAGAGGGTATCGGTCGGGGGACCTATTAGCTCTTCATCGTCCACAGAGATCAAGTTATCCTGAGTTGATTCGTCGATGCAATCTACACCAACGACAGATTCGGAAGTGGATTCGGGCGAGTCACTGAGAAGGGCTTCAAAGAAAGATTTGCTGTTGGAGGTTTGCTCTGAGTTGAACTTCACATCGAGAATGGGAGTTTCGAGATCCAGCGAGGAAGAAGTGCATTGAAAACCGAGAACACTCTGGAGAACATCACCGATCTTAGGCTCACAGCTCGGGAATCCAGTAGATAGATTTGGACTCTTGGGCTCATCAACCGCCTTATCTTTTGTGGTTTCTTGGTTTTCTGACTCTTTCTCAGTCCCTTCTGCATACCGATCGGGCATTGTCTCTGCAACCGCTCCCCCACCTAAATCAGAGTCACCATCTCTAACCTCTGTGTCAGCATCGAGATTTCCTGCTTCACTATGATTGCAGGTTTCGGCAATTTCACTAACCATCTCAGAAGAATCACCTTCCATTGCCGCAGTAATTCCTGGTCCACTCCGTGCAGAAGGGGAAGTTACCACCGTAGGCTCTTTGTTTTGCAAATCGTTTATACAAATAGCTTTATCAGTAATAGCAAGACAGTCTGATGTAACTGGGCTTTTGTCTGGATGAGTATCATTCGTGGCGTTCTTGTCAGTCTCACTGTCATCTTCATTTGAAAATTCAGGTGCTGTAACCACGAGGGCTTGACTGTATTTCTTGTCTGTAGTCGATGTTGAAGTCAAAAATCCAGCAAGCGCAGATGCTAAAGCATCATTTATTGACAATGGGCGTTTTGGCTTGTCCTCAGAAGATTCTCTCCCGACGGAATGGTCAACTTCCTTCTCATTACTGATCTCAGATTCAGTAGCAATCATCTCAGTTCCGGGTTGTGAGCGATTCTCGCTCGGCAGATCAACCATATTTTCAGATGAGTTAACTGTATGAATATCATCCTCTTCATGCTTTAATGCAACATCATAATTTTCACTTTTGCTCGTACAAGAGGAGTCAAGATCGGTGTCACCACATGAAAATTCAGGAGCGACTATTCTAGAGCAAGAAGCCAAGTGTTGATTCTGAATCTGTCCATCCAACTCAATATCACGACTTCTATCGGTATTACTACCTGTAAAACCTGGATCGAGAACTTTTGGTCCAGCAGACCCTTCTAAGTCATTTGATTTCTTGCCTAGTTCTTCCAGTTTCTTTTCCACTTGCTGGAGCCTTAAGTCAATACTATTTATAGGTTTCAGTAGCTGATCTTCAAACCTTGTAAGGATATCTTCTATCCTGCTTACCCTGTAAACAAGCTGATGCAGGATAATGTTGGTACAATCATATGATGAAGCGGGTTTGATTTCTGCTCCAGAAACATGTTGCGAGCTTTCAGGATCTGCTCGCTCTGTGGTAGTTGGCAGATTTACTTTTTGGTCATCAGTTTTACTCAAAGTTGACTCCTGCTGATTTCCGTTCACAATCTTATCCACATCATCTGAATTTCTCATAGTTTCTTGACTCTTCCTCTCATATTCATTGGAAGTTTGTTTATCTCGCTCTCTGTTGACACTTTTTGCTCTAGATAACTGCAAAAGAGTAGGCATAAACATGGCCATAAGCGAATTACCAGCTGAATTTCCAGCTCCATTTGCTTCGTGTTCTGATTCAGTTGGATCAGCAGGATCACCAAATATGTACACTTCGTCAATACACACACACCCTTTATCCTGAAGTGAGAGAAACCGCAGTGTAATGGAAATGCAAGGTTCTGTATCATTGATCTCTGCAGTAGCCTCAAAGAAATCCTGAGAAATAAAGTTTCAATATAGTCATTTCCGTGGACTGCAGTAAAGAAAAATACGATAGAAAAACAAAACATAACAAAGTCCACCACACATGCAATGTCTTCTATCAATTCATTTTCTTTCTGGGTTTCATTCCGGATCCTCGGTTTCTTTGTTTCAATACCCATACAAAAGAGATGAAAGATTTCATAATCACAGACCCATTTACCTGTGTTCTTCCTTGTGGTTTCACTGGCAGACTTCTCGCATTATTGAGCAGAGACGCATCAGAAGCTTTCACTTCAACCCAATCATCTTCACTTTTCCCTCCACTGCCATTATCTTTTACCTTCTTTCCCTCAGAACCATTGCTCCGTTCATCATGACTCACCAAAGCAGTTGCCTTGACCACAGAAGATTGAAGCACTTCTTCGCCCCTCGTGGCAAGGCCACATCGAACTGTACACAGGTACTCATTGCCCTGCTTCGGCCTATTCGCACAGTAGATTTCGTATACCCGTGCAGTACTTCGGACATAGACTTGTCTTAATTCATGCTTTTGAGAAAAAGTAACTGCAAGCGGAAAAACATACCATGAAACACCGAGATCAGACATCACTCCACTTTCGACACATCCGCTAACTCTAAAGCCTCGACACAATTTTGATAGGTTTGATAATCAAATTCGACGCAATTTTCAGAAGCTTCTAGATCCACGAACACACCTTTCTCTAACAGGATCCAAAACCTAATCGGAAAGACAAGCTGAAGCAGAGTCAAGCGATCATGAAACCGAGGAACTTACTGGTGATTTCGCAAGGATCGGAACTGGGTAAGAGAGGTAGCAGAATTAGCGGTGATTTGGCGGCAGAATCGGCGGCGGCGAATTCGTCGAGGTCTCCGGCGGGAGACGAGAAGGAGGACTCGAAGGTGATGGAGTCAACGAGAGAGCCGCCGGAGATTCTCCAGTTCGTAGTGGAATCGAATGAACCGTCGTAGTCGCTAGCTTCCATTGCTGCATCTGTGGGGGTTTTGGATTATTCAGAAATATCTGAATGCTGAACCCAAATCGGTAAACAAGAAGGACCTTTCCTTTTCTTTTGTTTTTTTTAAATAATAAAAAAATTATCCGGTCGCACCGTGCGGGTTCTTTCTTTAAAAATAAAATTTTTAAATAAATAATATCAATACTGATATTAATGAAATTATTATTATTGCATTTTAAAATGGCATTTCAATTGTACATACACTATAATAGAAAAGCATATTATACCAAATAAGAGTCGAGATGCCCAAACGAGCAACCAAAATCAAAAGTGGTAATATTGAAAATTAAGAGTATATATCTCTAACAAATGTACCCAAATATCTAAGGATACTGGATTTCCAATTATTCATACCAATATCAGATACACAAATAATTTTTTAAAAAAAAATCATCTAGGACCCATAAAAGACCCAACCCTAACTTAAATGAACAAAAGGAGAGGAGGACGAATTGAAGTTTTATTAATTCTGTTTTGACCCCCATTACTTATACAAACGTGAAATTACATCCCTAATTAACAAGTTCGAGTTCTTTTTATAGTGATTACCCGAATTTAAAATTGAATTTCCCCCCATCTTTTAGTACTTTAGGCCAACACAAATCTTTATTTGTCCAAAGAACCTTAAAAATGTCCTTTTTATCACACAAGGCTGACTCAAAACAGTCGGATGAATCCAGAGTTGAATCTTGAAGAATCTTGAGAGAACATTTCCATCAATCTTCTCCCCCACCCGAGGCACCTCTAGGGTTTCTGAGACGCGGAACCACAACGGAACTGCCACGTACTCTATCCAACGCGAAGCTTATTCGCAATGGCCGTCCCGATAACGCCTGTACGCATACAAAAGTTGCTTCAACAATGGCGGAAAATGGCTAGAATCACTGATATGAAATCCTTTTACTTACCCTTCCATCCATTGCATCTTTGGCACATAGAGCATCCTCTTCTTTTGTGAAATCAACAAATCCAAATCCTCTTGATCTACCGGTATCTTTGTCATACACAATCCTAACTGAAGAATCAATAACCAAAAAACGCCTTATCCATCACATTCTCGCGGATCTTATACTAAGGCCTTGAAGACTAAACTGTTCTAGCACTTCAATTTCATAAAATTTCTTTCAGGTTGGTAATATGTCAATTCTCACATGAACACTCGAATCTCCATGTTCTTGATCTGGGACAACGGATCATTTCACTGCTAATCGTGCAAACTAATTGAAACCCTAGACTAATCCCCAAAAACCCAACTTTTTCAAAGGAAAGTCTCGTTTAGACATTTCATCGAACACCTTGATGATACACACGCTACATGTCCTTTACAAAAGACTGTAAAGTTCGAATTTTTGTTTACCTTCAGTTACTTCCCCAAATGAAGAGAAAGTGTCTTTTAACGACTTCTCATCCACCGACCACGACAACCCTGCAAAATCTCGCATGCCCATCACACAAAACATCATAATCATCATCATCATCGTCACGATATATATATATATATGGGTATACGTGCGTAATGGTCATACTCGTACCGGCAACGAAGAGCTTGGAACTGGGCGAGGAAGAAGATGATGAACAGAGATGACGAAGAAAATGCGAGCTTGAAGGAATCAAGTGTTGGGATGAAGCCGAAACCGAAGATGCTGATCTCACGAGCAATGCAACGCTACTTCTCATGATTGAATCTCAATTATCAACTCGCTGCTCCAAGTAATGTAAAGGCCATGTCGCCTAATTACACATTTACCTTAATGAAACTTTACTTAATTTAATTATGTGTATAAGTAAACACACATAATTAACGACTCTCTAGAATTGCATATTGAATGTTTTTGCAATATTTTTGCAAAAATCTCATGGAACTAAAATAAGGTGTGTACATATATTATTATTTTGATTTAGTTTTATTCAGCTTTTATCTGATTCGATTTATTTTAGATTTTGAATTTTGAAAATTAAATGAAAATGAAAACTACACTAACTTCGATTATTTTTTCCCGAAAAAACAAAAAACATAGGCCCAATGTTTTTGGGCCCTATTATTTAAAATCGGTCCATATAATTTAAGAAATTGTGGCTCACAAATAATCACCGAAACGGATAAATCATTCATCAACCTCTCGTCCTTCACTCAGCTTCTTTCCTCTTCAATGGCGACTCTCAGCTTCAACCCAACCAGAATCAGAACACCATCACTTCCCAAAATTCCTAAATATTCATCTTTTTCCAGACCCACCAAAACTCATATCTTCACCTCCGATACCCATTTTGAACGACACCGTTTTGTATCCAAATCCCTCCCCGAGAGCTCCGTTTCGGTTCCCAAAGAAGAGGTCGTCAATTTCGAAGCCCCAGAGGAAGGAGAAGCAGAATTATTGGAAGATGATCCGACGACGGATCTGAGTTATATGGATCCTGAATCAGACCCGGAGAGCATAACGGAGTGGGAGCTCGATTTCTGCTCGAGACCGATTCTGGATTCGAGAGGGAAGAAGATTTGGGAGCTCGTGGTTTGCGATGCCTCTCTCTCGCTTCAGTTCACAAAGTATTTCCCCAACAATGTCATCAACAGTGTCACTTTGAAGGATGCTATTGTCTCCATCAGCGAAGAACTGGGCGCTCCTTTGCCTGAGAAGATTCGGTTCTTCAGGTGAGTTTCTGCGACCCAAATTTCGAATTCTGGTACGTGTGAATTCGCATTTGAATCGATAAACAGATACCAATGAACGTAACATACGTAATTAACAATTTGTTTTCATGTTCAGCAAATTAGTATTACAAAGGTTCCAAGAAGACGATTCATTTTTATTTCCTAGAGTTCATCCTCATAGCCAATCAGTACCAATGGAGGATTATCATTAGCTGTGTTAATTTCCTGGACTTATCAAACCCCAACACTTTTGTGTTGCAAAATGCAGATGCCGACCAAAATCTTTGTACGTTTGAATTTCGCGAATTGAAAGGCTACAAGTATACTGGGAAGAACTCAGGAAGTGAAAAACTTTAAACTTACTGAGTTACATTGTGTTACAGAGTAGTTAGGATGGCTGTAGTAAAGAACATTTGGTAACTATTGCTATATTAAAAGTTACTAAAATTGTATTTTGTGAAGATTGGTGTAATTGAAGTGACATTATCAAAAGGTTAAGTGGGTTTTTGGTTAGGGAATCTCCAAGGGGCTGCCATATCAAATCCATCAAACCATGTTTTCCATTACCAAAGGCAAATATATCTGCCTTCTGCTTCGGGTTCATATAAGGGACCATTTCTGGGACAGTTGTTGAAGGATGGTGTAATCTTTTGTTGTCTTATATGAGTCTCCTTTGCCATGATGTTGGTTTGGTGTTGCAGGTCACAGATGCAAACCATTATCACAAAAGCTTGCAAGGAGCTTTCGATAAAGGCGATCCCCAGTAAGCGGGTGAGCTCCGTTATTCCGCTATTCCAATTTTACATGTTCTCCTTCTAACTATACACATGATTAAACATAGAATATAACCCTATGATCTTTGGTCTAAATTTAGAAGATATGGTATAAACCAGTTGGCATATTGGTTTTATGTAGATATCTCTGAGAGAAGAAACTTTAGTAGCCCTTGCTTTGAAGAACTCTGTTTTAGTCATGTCTTTGATCTGCTTAGGGTTTGCTCACGAAAGGTTGCTACTTTTTTTGTTTATTTCCAGTGTCTATCACTATCCCTTTGGTTGCAAGAACGTTACGAGACGGTATACACACGTCATCCCGGTTTCCAGAAAGGATCAAAGCCGCTTCTAACGTTAGATAACCCGTTCCCGATGAATCTCCCAGAGAATTTATTTGGGGAGAGATGGGCATTTGTCCAATTACCCTATTCAGGTATAACTCCTTACTAGAATCCTCTGACAAAGAATGGTACCACATTCATTCGTGGATCTGAAATCTTGTATTGTAACATAGAACAAGCTTTATAATGTTTGTTCACAGCTATCAGAGAAGAGATCTCGTCCTTTGAGGAGAAATTTGTCTTCGGAGCAAGCTTAGACTTGGATTTGCTTGGCATCGAGGTTGATGGTGACACGCTAATTCCCGGTCTTGCTGTCGCTTCTTCCCGGGCTAAGCCTTTGGCAGGTCCTCTCTCTCCCTCTCTATCTGCAGCAAACTAGGGTTAATGTAAGATCTGATCGGTTTCATGTTTCTGACCCGGGTTTTCTCTGAGGTTACAGCTTGGATGAACGGACTAGAAGTATGTTCGATCGAAGCAGACAGTGCCAAGGCATGTCTGGTTCTATCTGTGGGAATCTCCACAAGATACATCTATGCAACCTACAAGAAGACAACTGTGACAACAGGTGAAGCCGAAGCTTGGGAAGCTGCAAAAAAGGCATGTGGAGGATTGCATTTCCTGGCCATTCAAGAAGACTTAGATTCTGATGACTGTGTCGGGTTTTGGCTTCTCATAGACTTGCCTCCACCCCCTGTATAATTGGAGTCATCACGGAAACAGTACATGTAACAACACTGTTTATTAGATTGTACCTGTGGTTTTTGTTTGAGGATGAAGATTTGTTGATTTTCCAGATTGACCTGCAGAATGGAAATGTCTGAATATGGAAGAAATTGGTACATCAGCAGAAGGGTGGTACAGTACTGTGAAGCCTAAATTGAGTTTGATTCTAAAATAAACTGGCTACACTACCCATGAAAAAATCACATTGTGGTACAACCTACAAGGGCAGGACATGACAAGGACAGGACAAGGGTTTCTGTAACGTAATGCCACAATTTAGCATTCAATCTCACATAGGAGAACTTCATGAAGAATGCAATGGATGTGGCTTGCTTCTTCATGGCTCGAAGCTGATCCCAGAGAAAATCGAAGGTCCAATCAATCAACTCCTTGACCTCTTTTGCTTCTGAGGTATGAAGCGGACACTGTGCTTCCCGAGCTCCAATGTATTTACACCTCCATCATCTAATGACACTGACAGTGTGGATGAGTCCCCTGTAACATCGGTAACTGTCCCCTTTCGCCTGCCCAAAGATTATATTTGTGTAGAAATGAAGTATCAACACTTACGGAACAAGATTAAGGTTTTAAGGTAAAGTTTCGGGCAGCCTTTTGACCTCCTTCCCTTGAAGAACAGTGGAATAAAGAAAGTAGAGATCTTAACGTACCATGACTTATCAGATCGTTGAAGGATTTCGACTCTCTTTCCTATCGAATCCTTGCCCAACTTCTTCAAAATCCAATTAGCATCCATCATCTCATTCCTTGGACTGTCCAGATTGGAGTGCGAGAAATTTTCATCTTCATTCAAAGAAGATGACTTATCGACTAATGGTGAAGGTTTCTTTCTCTTTGATCTTTGGCCCTTCGCAGCACTAAGCTTTTCATCCTCGGAATGAGGATCCTGAGGTGTCTGATCGCCTGGATTAGGCTTTCTAAGCTTAAATTTGAGCAGAGGTCTTGCTTCTTTCTTCACAGAATGTGAGACAGTTGTCTTGTCATCTTTGCGATTGTCTTCGCTCTTGGATGTAGGGAATTGGGTGATTGACCCAAATGTTGTTTTACTTCCTTCGCCCGGTTTTCCAAATGAATTGCATTTCTCTTCGGACAGAACAACAATATCTTCAGGTTGGGTTTTCCCAAATCTTCCAGAAATCTTCAAGCTTCTCACCTCACCAGGCTGATCCAATCTATCCCCTGCAGATGGCACAAATTTCCACGATAATCCTTATCATTAACAGGATGAACATGTATTCCCCTTGGAAAAGTTTCTTACATAAAGGCTAAAGCAACATATACAACCAAATATATTATGACCACCTTTTTTAGCAGTGGTTTTGTCTCCCCCGAACAAAGGTTTCTCAGCCTTACTTTCCTGCATATCTTCACCACCTGCAAAAGCATCATGAGGTTCATATTTATTTTTCTACCCTTGACAAGTTCCAAAAGGAGTGCTTAGCTGAGTCTATAAACGAGACTAGAAAAATAGATTCACGTAACAATCAACACATGATGGTTTAAAAACGGTATCCATGAACACAAACACCATATTGCGTTTATTTGAAATGTGCTAAAATTCGTTCATAACATACCACCAGAAGAAGATTGATCTTGATCCCTCGGATGTTGTGATGCACTAGATTTCGAAGAATTGCTGACATTTATTTTCTTTGCACCCAGACTTATGACCAGCTTTTTTGCCTTTATAGCGTTCACTTTACCCACATTCTTTTGGGCATCCTCACTGTCAGAATCCTGAGGCTTACTGCACTTTATTTTCACTATCCTTGATGGCCTATCTTCTTCGGTTACCATAACATCATCGACCAACTTGTGTTTCACAATCTTAGGCTCATGTGTCGAGCAAATTCCAGCAACACGAGAAGAAATATCAGATCCTCCATTTCTGTGAAATTCCATGTCCTCGTTTTTCTTCGCACCCGCAACATAATCTTCAGATTCAATATTCTGATAAAGTTCAGAATCCTGTTGGGGTTCTAACTTACTGAGGTGACCTGTCTTGCTAACATGCTTTTTGTTTGAAGAATTCTTTATGTGCTCCTTGATCTTCTTAGGCGAATTCTCAACTAAACCTTTCACTGAGAACTTCAGTGAACGCCCAGAAACAGGACCATTTTCTTCATCATCTGAAAAGGGAGAAATAGAAAATATGTCTTCCTCTGTTGGCAAACCAGCAGCAGCCCTCAAACTAGCAATTAGCTCTCTATCTACCACATCTTTTCTCTTCCAAAGTTCCTGAACAGCATCCTGAAGATCCTTAACCTGAGAACCAGAATAAAAATTTTATGAATCAGTCTTATTTTCATAGTCAATTGCAATGTTCACCCTCCCACACCCATGAAGGCCCAGCTCTCTAAGGATTAACTGGAAGATAAAAAAACAAACAAAGAAATGACGGCAAGGATATAAGCATGAAAAAATGCATACCTGGTAACACTCTCCCCTACATGTGGCACATTTATACTGTAGGTTTCCATCTACTTGAAACTGCAGATATTTCTCATCACTGCAAGATAGTTTCCAGATGCAAACAATTTCAGGCTTGGTATAATGTATCCAGACAGCATTTTCGGGGGACAAAAAAAAATTAATTCCCGTGATATGAAGATAAAAGCATTTCTAGATGAACAGAAACATATTTGTGATATTTTTGGACCAAGGTATTCTTTTATGGAAGTACATCTCTAAGATCAAATAATAAAGAACCTTATCCTAGCCGTATACCGAAATTAAAACAACAGATACAAAAAAGAAGTACAGTAAATGGATTTTATAGTAACCTTATTCCATCACATCGGCAATGCACCCATCGTTGACAAATATCACAGCAAACCATTGGAGTTGATTCAGAGTCCCTGTACACCTACATAGAATTTGAAATCTGTTTAATGAAACAAAAAAGACGTGTGAAATCATTCATTTTGCTATAAGCTAACAATACCTTCAAACATATGGGGCAATAATTTCCCTTGACAAACAACCTTCCACAAGCATCGCAGCAAGTATATGACAAAAACCACCTATAAAATATATAGAAAACACGTAAAACGATCATCAATGTAAGGCTAGAATGGACAAGCCAAAGATGAGCGCTTGAGAGGAAAACATCATTGAAATCACACAACATCTGCAATTGCTTAACACCACAAACAGCATACAATTTTCTGCACCCTTATAAAGCTAAGGTAGAAAGAGTGAGAGTATACCTCACACTTAGGCCATTTCCAGGGACAGTTGATCCACAGCTGTGACATCTTGTATGTTTTGGGCATAAATATGGCCCAGAACTAACATTCTGCTCAGCCCAAACATTCACATGAGCCATTTTACGCATGCAGAGATGAGAATATCATGACCAAACAATATGTAACACACCTTGTGTGGAGGATGTTGGCAATAACAATGATAAGCAGCATCACACCTTTTGCAGAACATGAACTTGTTAGGATCTCCCGTTCTATGACAGATCTAAAGAGGCAAAGAAAAGGACTCTGTGAGGCACCCTTAAAAGCTAATGACATTATATATCACATCCAATTCAGCACAAAAATTTATATCCTGCATTGCAGTGCCAGTTTCTATAACTAAAGAGAAATATTCCTTTGAACAGAAGCTTGATGAGCATGAGTTATGACAAAGTAAAAACATATGGCACTTTACGTCATTTAATTAAGATTGGTAACTCTTATGACAGCCCAAATGCAACAGATTTACACAAGACCTAAAATGAGAAAGTAGCGAGAAGCTCCACTGACCTCACAAACTCGGCACGAGGGACAAGTCCACGAACTCCAATGGAACAAATCTGCAAATTAAAACATTGAGGATGATGAACCTAGAGCATGACATTGCAAAGCAGCAGATTTGAATGAAGCACCTCTATGTTGAGCCCAAGACTTTAAACAATTCTTGTGGTACTTCTTGCCACAGTTTTTGCAGGAAAGCATCCTCCTTGCTCTCTCACTCCCTTCACTCTCACCCAAGAAGCACAATTTGCACATTGCATTCGAGTCGGAGTTACCAAGCTCTTCCCCACCTTGATCTTTGGAGGAAACCTATGCAACGAACAAAACCCCCCCAAGTGCTAAGCTTTTGCAAAAACATAAGGCGACTCCACAATTCCGAATATGTAAATCCAAAACAAAATGTGAAATTCTCACCGCAGTGAAAGCGGATTCGAACCTCCGAGCATAATCCTTGGCCGCTTCGACCGCAACAGCGGCTTGTTTCTGTAAAGCCACTCGCTTCTTCTGCGCCGCAGCCTCCTCCATCGCCACCGCAGTTTCATCGGCACCTCCACCATCGCCAACCACCACCACAGACGGAGCAGAAACAACCTTAGGAACCCTAACCTGAACTGTCCCATCCCTGAAAACCCTAGAATCACCCAACGGATCCTTCAAGAGGTCCTTCAGCAGATCTACCTGCTTCAAGAACTCATCCTTCGCATCGACGCCCCGGAGATCCCCAGGAAACCCTTGGGAGCAGAAGCAGATCCGATGACTGCAACAACAAAAAAAACCCCACAGAACCCAAATCGGTGAAGACGAAGACAAAAGCGAGAGAGTGAGAGAGACTGAAACAAAGAGCGAAGATAAATACCATGTAATTGGGCAAGCTACGTGAAAGGCCATACCCACACACACACCCCAATCGATTTTTTTTTTCTCCTTTGGCTCTACGGGAAAAAAAAAATCGCGATTGAATTTTAGGGATCGATTTGCACCTTTTTTTTAATTAACAACAAAAATAATAATGGTTAAATAATATTGGATATTACTAATTTTCTAGGTATGCTGCGACTGCGAGAGCGTTGCGTTTCTTGTTGTGGCTTCAGACGCAGAAGAGGGTTTAAATTAGAGGGCTCATCTACGGGAGCCAAGGGATTAGTACTCATCCAATCGAGTGCTGCCACGTAAGCGACTCACGCACAGGAACAGTAATCTTCTTAAATACTATATTTTTTAAATACCAAAAAAAAACGGAATATGCCATTAGATTCATAACAAAAATATAAAGTAAAGGTTAACAAAATTCATTTAGATAAATTCATTAATCTAAAATTATTTGATACAATGAATGGAAACAATTAGATCTTCAAAAAAATTAAAATATAAAATTTAAATTTTATTAGAATTAGAATAAAAATATAAGTTGTTAATTATCTATGATTGCATATTAGTGATTTGAAATTATGGACTGTCACCAATACAATACCTATGACCAATGACCATGATGACAAAAGCCAATTCGTCCAGACCATGATGATAAACCGACTCCTTTGTTTCATCACTGTGATGAAACCACAATGACATGTAAACGTGGACCATATCATATGAACACAATAAAATCCGTACTCTAAATGTTTTTTTTTCCCGACACCAAACAATCAAACCCTAAACACTTAGAATGACTCGTAACGTGAAAACATTAACACAAGTCAGAAACGTTCGAACACAGAATATTATAGTTTTACTCATCATCCTCGTCTTCGATCTGGTCAAAGTCGGAATCATCGCCAGCTTCGCTCTCGGAATCGCTCAAAACGTACCTCGTCTGCTTCCTGTTCACCCTCTGAGGCCGCGCTTTCGCAACCATTCCAGTAGAGTTTGAGTTCTCGGACGAAGAACCCGATCCCACCACTGTCAGATCCTCTTTCTTAGTCTCAGTCCCCTCCAGTTCCTTGCTATTTTTTGCAATCTTTCCCAACACGGAACCGCT